TTAATTATTAAATTAATCTACAGTTATTAATTTAACTGCTATAATTTAATCTACTCTAGTCTATAGTTAATCGCGGTTAAGAGATTAATTAATTTTAATCTAATCTAACCGGGGGCCGATTAAGGGATTTTATATCTTAATTTAACCGATCTCGGTTAGGTTAGGTTATAGCTAGGTTACAACAGTTAGATTATGCCACTCTAATATCACTCTGTAACAGCGGTATACTATGTACATACCCCCCAGGGCATTCGGGATTGCTGATCTCGAATTATATAATCTTTTGGCCTTGTGAAATAGGCTATCCTGGCTCTATCTCTTGTATACTCTATCTCCAGATACTAGGATATAGACCAATACAGAGCTCTTACAGTTTTGCTATATTTATTAACTTAAGACTTATATTTAGGATGACGTCAATTATATTAGGATCAAAATAATCCTATATTTATCCAGGCCTCTAGTTTTCCCACGTAAGGTCTAACCTGTCACGAATAGCAAACATCGGCTCATAAGGCGACGATGGCATGTTACTAAAGGAGTTCCTTCAGCTAGGCTAGGAGACGCAAAGCTAATGCCAGAGGCCGTTTTAAATGGCGGAAATTCTGCGTAAGGAGTTGATCATCACTGCTGATGGAGAGATATATTTAAGCTTCGTTGGGTCCATGTTATGTAAAGTCAATCTAATAGAGACCTTAGCGTTTTGTACGAAGACTCGATTATAAATAAGATAAATCACGATTGACATACTACTTGTCTATATATCAACATATTAATTCCAATTAAATTTTGAAGTCCACCGTCTGTGTGAAGCTTAAATCACAGTTTGCGCCCCACGAGGTAGGAAGCAGATGATGAAGGCAGGGAAGACGCGCCTAAAATGAGAAGTGAAAGAAAATATAAAAGGAGGGAAGAAACTATATCCACAGCAAATGAACATGAAGATGTGGCAGTGTGCGTCCTGGTGTTCAACCGCGCATCAAGGATTGGACCACATCATCAGGACTCGAAGCCTCCGAATAGGGCTTTCCCTCATGGTAGTCCCAAGGGGTGTACACATAGTCCTCTGGCCACCCCGCCTGGCGCCCGCAAACATACTTGACTTTCTCCAATACGCACTACACAAGAATGTCAGAGACCATTAAATGGAAGAATGGATGGAGGAGTCATACCTGGGACCATTTGGTATAGTCAAGGCATTCTGTAGGTTCGATGGTTCCGCCTGTGAAGTCACAGACTGGCAGGCTCCACCTCATCATTTGCCACGCAGGAATGTCAGCCCCAGATGTTTGGGGAATCCAACTGAAGTATGAGCCTGCGTCCATCGCAGAAATCCACTCGTTTGTTGTCTTTTGAATCAGATAGGCGGATCGAGCGACGTCATGGCCGTTGAATCCGTATTCGGACTGCAGTTCGGCAATCCCTTTCGGGGGCCGGATTTTGGGCGTATGAGCCGAGTTGCGTAGTTCGTCCTTGATAAGCTGCTAATGATTTAGTACTATAGTCCAACAAGTTTCCGGTCGCCATTTGGAGAGGACCATACCAGGAGGAAGGCACTGCCATCTGGGTTGCAGTACTTGAAATCTGTGCTGTCTTGATTCTCATCGATGTCGCCGTTCTTGTCACAAGGGTGGTATGCCGAACCATCTCGAGTGAAAATAGAATCATTATCGATTTTGACAACAATGACTAGATCCTTTTTCCACAGCATATTAATCAACGGCGCAGCAGCAAGCTTCCTAAGTTCCTCGCTTTTCGGCATCACTGGACTATCCTTGTTGAGGCTGTCAATACCCGCGAAATACCCGCTTTGCAATATGCGCGGTACAGAAGTGGGTAGGGTGACCCAATTAGGGTCAGCTGGGGGTGTAGTCAGAAAGAGCTTCTTGTAAAAAGCATCTAGACTGTTTGTAACCGCAGTCTTGATGTCGTCCGCTTTATCGCCTAGCTCCGCATACGTGTTGAACCGAATAGAGTCTCCAGTGGTTTCATCGAGCGTCGTCACGGCGGCGGCCCCAAACGTTGCTACCCCCGCAGGTATGCCTGCCAGAGAGTTTTCGAAGAATCCGGCAATGATACTTGCCACACCAGCTGCAAGAGTTAGGCCGCGTCGGGACCAAGATCGCTCTTCGAGTCACCGGAATGTGAGTATCTGGTTACCATGCTGGCGGTTTTGAAGCTCATGCTGTTCCAAACTTCCCCCATGACGGTGTGCACAATTCCAAGGTACCTTGCCAAATTACGGACTGCATGCAGAGCCTGGACTCGGTACATGCGGCCATCTCGGCAAAAGTCCGAGTCGCTCAGGTTATCCACGGTACATTTCTCCCGGGGGCTAGCACATATGTTAGTAGCAGCGAGGATATTTGGCGGGCCAACCTACTTTACACAATCCCATACGTATTTCCCGTCATTTTTAAGCCCCTGGTAGGCGGAAAGGGCGAGGGATATGCCACCAGCCCCCCCTTCGCCACCGGGCCACTTAAAGTCACTGTTCGGATCGAGAGCAAGCTTCTGGTACCAACCAGCTCTGTTTAGACCAAACTGTTAGCTTAAACAATTGATTTCAAGTGTAGTCAAAGTCCTAGAAACATACGTGGTAATAAGCCAAGACCCCGTATCCATCTTGTTCCACAGCTCTTTATCCAATTGATTCATGTCACCGCATATGGCGTCTTCGCGAGCCTTATCATCGAGGGGCCAATGTTCACTGCGTCAATGGATCAGACTTTGGCCTCAGCCTGCAGGGCAAGTAATAGAAACATACTAATAGCCTTTAGGCGGTTCATCACCCGCATTGCCAGTCGGAGTCGGGGTGATTGGCGGCTTGCCAGTAGGAGTAGGCTGATCAGGGGGGTTGTATGGAGGTAGTCCAGGCTCCTTGGATGGGTCACCATCGTCTACGGCGCTGCTATCACTTCCAGGACAGGTATTGAACCATGTGTACGCCTAAACCAATCAGTTTCCCACGCTATCAAACCGGTATGCCAGAGAGCTCACGATGTTAGTGCGTGGTATGACATTGTGCATATCAGCTCGACCCAATCCACCAAGATTGGGGAAGAATAGATTTGCCTGTACAAAGTTAATCAGTTTATACAGAGCTAATAAGCATGCCACTCACCCCTCTATCTGATCCTTGATATCGCGGGCCATCCAGGAGCTCCCACTTCCAACTGGATCCCGCGGTAGGGATTGGGCCTTTGTTGATCCAAACCAATGTATTGCCATTGAACTTGTCGACCCACAGGAAGTCAACACGACGATCACCTTGGATACAGTAAGCCTGCGTGATATAATAAAATGCTAATAGAATACCAGCACATACCGTCTACATCGGCCCAGCGATGATTGGCGCGGTCGTATCCCTGAGGGCGTTTAACTTGGCCCTGGGACTGGAAGTTATTGATACCCTTGTTCAACCATCCAACTGTTCGTCCATTCGGTCTGGTTAGTAGCAGTCAGTATCGCGACAATCTGAATAGGGGCATAATAAAACATACTCCATGCACAGGTAATCTGCGCGACCGTCACCGCTGATTAGAGTCAGTATTATTCTGGTCGATGAATCGTAAGAGTATAGGTAAGACAGACTCCAAATCAGCTATCCTTACGCCAATATCATAAAGCCCAACTCCCCATCCTTCAGTACATTTCACGTTTCCGCTAATGATCCCTTTATATGTAAGGAAGCCACCCTTAATATCATCGTTCCAATTGTTGATCCACACCTCTGCCGTACCAGTCTCACGGTTGACAGCCCAAATGTCGCACTGTAAATTATCCACGATAAGTATTAGCTATAACAGTTTATCAAGCGTCAGGTTATATTCTTTTTGAGTACCTTGCCGTCACCATCGAAATCAGCCAGGTGAATACTCTTGCGTTCTCTTCCAATATTGAAGATTTCCGGGCCCTCCGGGACCCAGACGGGGGGCTTATGGATATTGCCATAGAGTAAGCCGCGTCCTGTAGGGGAAACCCAGATCTAGAAAGGAGTTAATACCGCTTGGACACACCGAAGGATAACAATATAGACGTACATAATCATCTGCACCAGTGCCACGCCAGTCACAGTAGAAATCGCCGTCGGCTGTTTGGTCATGTCAACGAGAGAAATGTCAAGGTATAGAAACAGCAAACCAAGGAAGGGGGACAGCAAACTCACCCTTTAGAGTAGTTCCACCCCTGCCTGTATTCTTCCATACATGGGTGTAGTGGTTGTAAGTCTTCGCATTCTTCATAGACTCTATCCACACATAATCGGCACCACCTCCTGGATAAACCTGGCCGAACTTAATCCGGTCTCTGGCTCCCTTAATACCCATACCCGCGTGGGTAACACCAATCCGTCGCCATTCTGGGGCCAGACTACCCTTGCCAGAGCCACGCTGATTAATATATGTAGTAACCTTACCTTCTTCATCTAGCCAAAGCCAATCGGACCGGAAGTCACCATTGATATCAACCAGACGGACACCTCTCAGATCGCCCATACCTTTACCAGTAAAGACAACCCCCAGGTTTTGCCAATAGCCACCAAACTCCTTTGTTGGGGCGTCCTTCTGGCCTCCATTTCTCCAACACTGAATATCACCGTTGTTCTTGGCCAGACAGCTAGTCGAGATGTTAGTCTTTGTTCCATCTCCAAGTAAAGCAAACTTACTAATCAAGACGGCCATCGCCGTCAATATCACCGAGTCGTACATTGGCTTGATTCAGATCTCCCCCAGGTGCAGCCCTGACCAGCCCAATAGACTTGAATTGAGGAGGGCTGCCGCCTTGGTTCATTGATGCATACATTGCACCTTCTCTACTGATACAGATAAAATCATCCAACCCATCATTATTCAAATCACCCCAATGTACACCTGATACCACCGTTAAATTAAGAACCGAGAGAAGATCAATAATCGACAAGGGCTTACTCACCTCGGGCAAGACAATTATCCTTCACATCGATTTTCACGGGATTTCCAAAGTTGCCGTTACCATTATTGGGATACATCCAAGTACCCAGACCGTCTCGAGTCCATACAAGCTCATCGAGAGCTCCCTCACGGTGAGCACCTCCCTGGTTAACCAGCTGGGCATAATTAATCCCGGGATGGGTATCTTCCTTCGAATTCGTGATCCCAATCTGTTTAATTTGTCCCATATGCTGGGAACTATGCTTATAGTCACCGTCATCCCAGCCACTCCCCCGTTGGGTTTTTACCTTTCCTCCGCTGTTTCCACTGCCGAACTTTTTCTCGCAGGTTGTATCGGCCCAGTCACTCTCTCCAATATCCTTAGGCTTTTGTAAAAGTCCTCGGGATTCTGCTTCCTGAATTGCAGCCCACCATACGGAGGCCATCTTTTTATATCCTTCATCGGTTGGGTGAGTCCCGTCGACTAGCTCTGACACTTGAATAAAACCATCACTCATCTCTGCCAAGACCAGACGGTCGCCTTCTTTAATACGCGTAGCTGCAATATTCCGATATTGCTCATTAATATTCAACACGTTGACCTGTGCCTTGTCGTCCTTATTGGGTAGTAGTGTTGAGAGAATAATGGTTGTTCCCGGGATTGCATCATAGAGACGAGTGAGCATTTTATTCATCCTTTCGCCCGCTGACTCAGGGTGGACAGGCTTAACAGCATCATTCGTGCCCGCACTGCGACAGCATACGATCAGTATACAGTGAGTATTAATCATGGAAGAGGTGAATCATACTTAATAAGAATAAGATTAGGGGCCTTGGGAATGGTCTTTTCAGCCTCTTGGGCGACCTCGTCAATGATCCAGCCGGAATGCCCTTCATTGTCCTAACCGCGTTACATGTCAGCTTCATAGACGAGTTTGTACGCCCAAACCATTGACGACCTGCTTACATTGTCCTTCATATCGCCACTCTTGAGCGAGCCAACCATATTCACCTCCCATCCAGCAGATCGGAGTTGTTGGCGCAGCACTTTACGGTACCCATTTTTATCCGATGACTTGAGACCTGTGGTGATCGAAGCCCCGAGAGGCATGATCCGTAAGGGAAAGGGTTTCCCATCACGACTCTCGAGCCGGGAGCCAAGATCAGAGGACCTGTGTAGGTGAGTGTGTTGATGGCCATGATGGCCAGAAGGAATCGCCGACGTCAGAGCAAGCAGTGACAGACCGATGATGAGCAGATGTAGCATCCAGCTCACTCCAAGCCGGACCCCCATGATGATTATCGGGTAGGACAGTAGCCTCGAGGAAGAAGTCACAGAAGTAGGAGATTGTTGCCGTTCGCCTGCGTTATTTATATTTTTTGACTCCTTCTGCCATTACGCCCTAAGAGGAGGCAAGCACAGGGACCACTTCCCCTTCTTAGCCCTTTTGTCTCATCGTTTCAATTACACATCAATTGCACCCGGTGGGGTTTGTCTTGGCATTCGCCGATTTTTATTACGCCAAGAGAGCTCTTAGCTCTTGCTCTTGCTCTGTGTTCTCGTTTGCGAGTATCCGTGATGTTTTAGACCTACGCCGACGGTATGTTGAGGTAAGGACTATATGGCAGCAATAAGGACCAACAGGCTTGGCTTGAGGTCTAAACCGAAGTGGCATGGAGCTTGTTGCATAGTGGAGATGCCAAGAGCTCACGCTCCACGCGACCAACAATCCCCAAAGGGCCAAAGGTCATTCCCGATTCGCCGAATAATCGTGTCGTCTCGAAGTCTCAAGGGATGGACTGTGTTCCTGGTGAGACAGTTTCCACTTCTCATCATCTCATCGGCGGCATCCACCGCTGGCCCCCAACCGCCAAGCCAGCCCTAATGGCATATGTGTGGTTGCCATTCGCGTGTACCTGACATGGCGAGGTTACGGTGGGCTCGCTCCACAAAATTAGAGCCCTTGGCAGACGAACTACATCTCACTAATCCCCCTCCTAAACAGGTTTTTTCTTTACTACTACCGTCGTGGAAGTTCCCTTAACAAATCCCCATTCATTTACTGCAATAGTGATCAGATCCGACGTGGTGATGAATATCACTCCTCTCTGTGAGTAAATAGAGCCGCTTTACCATAGTAGTTACAACGTATGCGGTGTCTCTACCATACAATCATACAATTATACTTTTTTATTGATTGCTGAATCATATTAAGTCCACTGTCCTTATCACGATATCGTTGGAACTAAATTCCCGGTTGCTTTTATTATTACCCGCTTGGGTTGATGATGACCTTGCCCGGCAATGCGCTATATATAATCACACGACAACAAAAACCATGCAAGTACAATGTTTCCAGAATTTTATAAAGCATCACAAAGACTACGATCAATAAAATCAAGGAAGGAGCTAAGACTTTGATATGCATCATCATGGTAAATGGCCCAATGGGGCATGCCGCATGCCGCTGTTGGATATAGGATGCTAAGTTAGGCTTCGTGTGCTAAGGGCCCTTTTGATACTCCGTAGTCCCTGCATGCATCTATCATTCACATGATTAGTGGGCCAGGACAAGGTGCTAAATGCCAAGCGCCATGGGTGTTCCCCATCTAATCAGGCCACATGTAGAAGCAACAAACTGGGCACCCAAGGTCTTCATCTCCAATTGGCACATGGCGAGTATTTCCACAACGTGGGACCGAAAGCTCTCGGCATTCGGGATTCAGGATCGCCTCGAGTAAGCTAATTCCGAGACTTGGCAATGCCTGGTGAGGCTGACTTGAGGATCAAGTAGCCATCATGCATCGGTCAATCATATGCCTGGTGCAACCTCGACAAAAAGCCCCGTATAAGCGTGATGCAGTGCTAAGTGGAAACCTGTAAAATAGAGCCATTGCTGTCGCATTTGACTGCTTTTTCTATGTGGTATGAATGAAAGTGGTTGAACCACGTTGTCCGCAGCCCATGTTGCCTCGTTGCAACCACGAAAGTTGAGGATGCTGAAGATCCGTCGCAATGACACACTGCTACTCAGGGGTTTTGGTGGGGACATAGGTTGTTTGGCGACCTAGTCCAAGCTGTATCATCTGGCTGCTCATTAAAGTGGATGGGACGGAAGGAGAAAATATCGAAAATCGCCCCCAAAAATAGCAAGACATGGTGTGGGTCGAAACCAAAAAACCAACGGATCCTCTTCGACTTGATTTGTGGGCCCTAAAATGAGGGTTGCAGCCAAGTCCATTAGTTGAATCGGGCCTGGGAAGAAGTATTCCATACGAGAGCGCATATTTTGGTGAAATTAGATTTCCCGGAGAATGGTTTTGCATAACGGTCAACATTATGAATGAATCAATCATGCATACCGGTTAATCTTGTTGGTAGACTTCGCATAACTCCCTCCAGGTGAATGCCGGATTTCGGATGATAAAATTGGGCCACATCGACTACCTGTGTGTGATACCAAAATAGCTTTTAGTTTGAACGCGGCCTCTGGAAAGGCATGTCTCAACCGTCCGGGGGGGGGGGGGGGGGGTTGTGTTATGAGCAGAGACGTGCCTGTGCCCCTCTAGGTCTGAACTATACGGGTTGATAGCAGGGAATGTCTCGTTCGTGAGATACAAAAGACGCTTGCCGACATCAGAGTGTTGTAGATGCTAGAAAGCATTATTTTCGCAATACGTTGTTCAAATAAGCATTACCCAGAAGCCTTTGAGAACACTTACCTGGTATATTTATATAAGCCCTGACAATATCAGCAGAGAAGTCTCCAGCCCTAGTATTGAGATCGGGCCTTTGTAATCAATGTCATGAAAGGCTTGGGAGAAGTTAAGGCAAAATGCTTCGATACGATTGTGGAATAGGATAAGATACACTTCCCCACCAATGTGCGTGTCGACTATGTCGAAGGCGAGTCCAAGGCCATGAGTACAAGTTGCGGGCTGGCGCTCGCTTTTCGTGAGAACTGTTGTGCACCACAATCTCTGCCGAAATGTACTGTACCCAAATACCTCCGGATGTTTGAAAAATGCTAAAGCCCCCGGTAAACCTTTCTCCTGTGAGCTACTTTACTGAAGGCCATGAAGATACAAGGCAGATTGCGTTGATCTTTCGAGCAACGGAACAGGCATAGGGGTAGATCAGGGGTTGTTCTGGTTTTGCTCCAGCCAGACTATGGTCATTAACTAACTGATTTGTATACTATGTGCAGCAGAACCTTATCTGGCTATTGTTCTTTGTCCTGGCAGAGGAATAAAAACTGATAGTACATAGGCATACTTTTGGGCGTGATTAGCATTCAAGATCAAGACGTGCGATTCCGTTCCGCCTCGGCATCTTTCTGGATCTGCAAAATCGCTCGGCTTCGCGACCGAATCCTTTTCCCGTAACGCCAAAAGATGAAAGGAACAGGAACCAGGCACAGCTCTATCAGGCCGAGAAGCGTGCCGGCCCAATGAGGTGTCAGGTTCTGATACAACTTCGGTCCGGCCAGGGGCAATGTTCCTCCTAGGATAGATCTGAAAACGGTATTGGAAGCGAGCGCAGAAGCGGCATAGATGCCGTACAAGCCTGCCACCTTTATTCCACGTTTATCAGGCGACAAATACTAATATTGGGTCAGTTGGGGACAAGGCACATACAATAATTCGAGCTGTAGACAAAACACAGCGTATTTCTAAAGCCAAAAGGAACCCCAAACGCAATGGGCACCAGCCAGTGGATACCTGCAGGCACACAGGTCCAGGCAAACACGAGTTGACCTATCGGAGTACATATCGCACCAAGGCTCATGATGGATCCTGTGGCTTCTGGATATACACGGCCAGTTTCGGGGTTGATTGGACTAGAGTTGATGATGCGCCTCCACGGTGGTTCGAGGCAGATGGCAAGCATCATCCCTAGACCATTGCCTGAGTATTCTAAGCCACCGATACCGGGTCCCCAGTCTCTATAGTCTTGGAAAACGATGGGATAAGCCACGAAGGAAAGGTAGAGAACGGCATAGACAACAGACACCCTGGCAGAACATTACCCTTAATTCGTGTGTTCGCCAAGCTGCTTTGGTGTTGACTTTAGCCACTTACCATATATTAAAGAACCACACAATGGGCTCCGTTGCTGCCAAAACAAACGGCCGGCCCAGAGCGACCTTGAGTTGCGGCCCGAATGACGCCTTGTCGTCGTGGTGAGACCAGTAGCGACTATCCTGCTCTTTCTGGAGCCGTGCAACCCTCTTCTGAGGAGGATAGGGGCATGTGTTTTGGGGACCGTAGCCATGAGCAGGACGGAGGTGCTGCTGAGAATCATGGTCAGCCAGTTATCCCAGCGCCAGCCCCGCGTAGACGAAGCCACCGATGATGGGCCCAATGACAGGACCATTGAACGGCGCGATGCTCCATAGCGAGAAGCCCACTGACAGTTTGTCGGGCGGGTAGATGTCGACCAAGCTACCTGGCGCATTGGAGATGGTAGCAGCACCAAACACGCCTCTTTTGGGGATTGCAGGTTAGACTACGTCAAGTTTTGCCACCATCCACGGTAGATAGATTGCTTACCCGAAAAATCGGACAACCAATATCTCCGCTACTGATGTGGCCAAAGAACACGGAAGAATGAGAAGAGTGAAAATTGTCCTGGACACGAGATAAATCGGGCGGCGACCAAACATCTCGCTAAGCGGCGCTTGGATCAGACTACCCGCACCAGGGCTGAGGAGGTGGGGATTCCCAGCGTCGGGATGACGGGCAGATGCATATCGAAGGCTTTGCTGACTCCGGGTACGGACGAAGTGTAGATAGTGCTGTAGAGGGAGACGATAAAGGCGATGCAGAAAAAGACCTAGCCACGGCGCCAGGATGACCATTCTTTGGGGTTGGTGGTATCTCCAGCTTTGAACCCGACCTCGAAGTTGGCTTCGTCTTGGTCACCATGGCCTGCTTTCTCCTTCCCTGTCTCGAGACCACGAGGGACGATGCCTCGAACAGCTTCACCTTGACCCTCCACACTCGACATGGTAAGTGGGTGGCGTGGGTCAGACGCTAGGATAGTGGAGATCTCTTTCAGTGTCCGTGTTTTGTATACAAAGCTCGTGCCCTGACCCCAATGCTAACTGCATCCAAAGCCAGGAACCAATCACATACTTGCCAGTTGACAGGGATACAAACCCGGATGAAAGCCACCCGCGGTTAGCTTTTGATTGGCTCCAGCACCAAGTCTTTTCCCGCCTTTGGACGGCCGGGCGTTCCCGCTCTCTCCTCCTTTGAGCCTTGTATTCCCACGTCAGATTGTCTCGACCTGATCCGAGAGAATGATTCCGTTAAACTCTTGCTCTCTTGCTCTTTTCGGTCCCTTCAACCTCGCTCTCTTTTCCAACTCGGCCCCCGAGAGCTTCTGGCATATCCGCAGTCTCGCCAAACTAACACTAAATTCTTGGGGCTGAACAAGTCCTGGTATCAGACCACGACGATATGTAAGTTACAGGAAACACGCGAGACAATATCCACAGTGTTTCTAGAACCCCACCAAAGTCAAAGCGAAGAAAACAAAAATGGTGTTTAAAGAGCTAATTCTATTTATCTCCCTTGCAGTCAGTTGTACTGCAGCTATGTCGACTCCGGAGCCACTTCCCAACCCACAGCGGGTTATTACCGACACCGATCTGGAGACCGGCATCTCGCACTTCAATACGACCCTGGACGAAAGCCTTGCGGTCAAGCAGGATCTCGGCGGTTCCTTGTTCCGTTTAGGCTATATCACCGACAAGACCCCCAACACGCTCGATGGCACCGATCTCACCAACTACATTGAGTACCTGGAGAATGCCAGCGTGCCTCCCGTCACCCTTCCCGACGGCCGTGGCATGATGTGGTACATCGACACACCGCCTGGGAAGGGCAGTCCTTTCCACCGCACCCTCAGTTTCGATGTTGTTATCCAGGTCGCGGGCGAGATCGAAGTGACGCTTGAATCTGGAGAGACGCGCATCCAGAAGCCGGGTGATATGCTTATCCAGCGCGCTACCGCTCACACTTGGAGAAATGCCAGCAAGGACAAGTGGGCACGCATGGTTGGTGTCATGTACTCAAGCAACCCTGTCGTACTCAAGAATGGCACCGAACTTGGTCCTACTGGACTTTAGTCGTTCTCTTAGCAATAGTGCCATGCACCAAAGCACCAATTCTTCGTGATATGTACACCCGTTGTTTTTTGTCTCAATAAATTGACATAGCCATAATCAAGCAATCAAGATCATAATATCTAAAAGTCCATTTCTCCGATCTCTAATTCGTATATCTCTAGGTTGTATCTGCGTTTCGTCATTCAGTAATACCTTGTCTGTCAATGGCATCTAGTAGTTGCAACACTGGTAGCAGGTAGATTGCAAGGTCTCGTTCCAATCGAACATGCTGATTATGTTCCATCTGCTGCATCTCATCCAACATTGAAGCTAGTTGGCGTAACATTCGACGATACATGGGCCGTATCAGGGTGGCTCCCTGTTGGCCGTCAAGAGTAAACCGTCCGAGAGCCATGGGAGGGAGATCCTCAAGGGCTGCAGTTGGGGAGGGGTTAAAAGGAGCCACAACAGGGACACGAGATTGTGCAACGTTTTGCGGCGCGCTCCCAGTGTTGCTGTCCCTACTGCTCCGGCTATACCTCTCATGTGCCACAAGGGAGGTGACGGCCGGCTCAGTGACATTATTGCCCAGAAACCCAATTACATTCTCAAGCATGTCTTGACGCGTTCCCAGAAAACCATGCCTTGGCTAAACAGCCGAGAATTGGCTTCCACACCCGACTCGTCATTAATTGGCAGCGCGTGAAGTTCCAGTGGGCTGCTGTCCACACAGAAACATGACGATTTCGATCTCTGATTTGACAAGCGTGACTGCCGGCGACTATTGTACGTTGCACTGCTTGATGCATCCATTTCGGATGGCAGGATCCGTCAAGCACGGTTTGAATAAATTGGTAAGAGAAGGAAACGAAGGACAATTATGCTGACGCCACCGGAAAAACAGAACTTTACTGAACATGCAAATACTAATTAGACATGGCTATATCTGTTTTCTGCAATGCACAGTGTGACTACGTTCCTTGCGCAAGAATTTGGGCTATCACCTCATAGTATAAGTCCTAAAGGAACATAAGACAATACTACTATTAATCATAGATAAATAGCTCAGCCGAGAGAAATACTGACATTATCCACGGCCGAGAAGCGAATACGGGGCTGAAATACGACCATTAGCCACAAATCATCTTATTAGTATCATTTAATTCGACTATCTACCAGCTCTAAGTACGACTAATTATTAAAATAACCTCTTCTACTATGTCTAATCGTGCCATTCCCTACAGCATGGCGGAGCATGCTAACGAGATGTAGATATAAATTCATCAAACTAACTGTTTATCCACTTATCAAGCTGCTGTACAGCGGACTAAATCGAGGTTCCAAACAATATAAAATTTCACACCGAAATATTTTTGTTTTACATAAAGCCACGCACTTTCTAAATCTACTACTAATACCAGCCCCTAAAAATATTATTAAGACTCACAAATATAACCGCTAGACTACAGTATATCCACTCCAATGGATATAAGATCCAATACCATATTCATAAATTGTGGATAGTAGATATAGCTTCAATACCATATCCTTAG